CCAGGTTTATGCAAGAATCATCTGGGAAATCTTAAACATAGTAATGCCTGGGCCCCACTCCAAACTAATTAAAGTAGAATCCAATTATTTTAAAGGTCCCCAGGTAATACTAATGTGCAGGTGGGTTGAAAATTACTACTCTGAAAGCAAAGCTAGCTACAAATAAACCTGAGCAGGTTTCCCCAATTAGGTGACCACAGCAGCAGGTTCAGAGTTGCTATGATATTCAGCAAACCAAGGAAAAAACTGGGACAGATGTTTCATGTTGGTCATGAAAACACTGGGACATGAGCTAGAGCAGTGACCCACAGGGTGGTCCCCAGACCAGCATCATCAGAATTACCTGGAAACCATTAGGCATGCAAATTATCAGGCCCCAGCCCAGACCTACCGAATCAAAAACTCTGCAAGTGGGGCCCAGCAATCTGTGTTTGAACAAGCCTTCCACGTCTGAGAACCAGGCTAGAGCTGTGCTTCTCAAATGTTAGTGTCCATAGGAATCACCTGAGGGATCCTGTTAAATGCAGCTTCTGCCTGGGATGGGGTCAGAGATGCTGCATTTCAAACAAGCTCCCAGGTGAATGCGATGCTGCTGGATGGAAGACCACACTTTGAATAGCAAGAGGCTAGAGGTCAAAAATGAAAGAAGCATGTAGCTACCAGAAAATTCTCTGGTCCGGGTGGTGGTGGTTATGACACAGAGTTTAGGCTAAGCTGACAGCTGAATGAATTCGATCTGACATCTTGGCGCAGTGTAGGAGTGAGGTTTGTGAGCACTGGTGTGGGCTGGTATCCTAAGTTACAATAATATAAGTTATAAGCCCGGGAGCTGCATCTCAAGATGAGGAGGCATTGAATCTGTCCAATATAACCAATGTGACCAGCATATCACTGTTGATACCAGGAGAGAAACTTTCTACTATATGTCCTGTTATTTAAGCCATCACTCTGTTATGTTAGAAAAGGACTTACTGCATGCAAGATGGAAGAGACAGTTTCTGGAGATACTACAAATTCTAGTAAAAGGTCAGGTTCTCTGAGGAGCCCATATAACTTTTAATTACTTCTTTTGCTACTTAATGATATTTCTACAATCCAAATCTGAGGATGCCTTGCCCTGTTTAAACCCTTCAGTGGCTCCTCACTGCTTTCGAAGTTTGTCCAAAGTTCATTACCGGCCCTCGGGAGCTGGTCTTGACTCACCTCTTCAGCCTCGTTTCTCAGCAATCACCCTCCAGTCTCTCCCCCGTGTCCCGTCCGAGTCCAGCAACACTGAACTGCTCTTGGTTCCTCAGATGGGCTTTCTTTTGCTTCTGGCTGACACTGTTCACATTATTGCCTTGCCCTGGAAGATATTTCTCTCAAATCTTGTTGCCTCTTCACTAACTCTCTGGGTCTCACCTGGGTGCCATCTCGTCTAGGAAACTTGCTGATCCTCACGTTAGGAATCTCTCTGTAGCAACTGGTGTTTGCCTGCTCATTTATCTGAATCCCCCACTGAACTTTAACACATAAGTATATTTCACCATTGCTGTTGCATCCACCGAGTATAGCAGTCACTCGACAAATACAGAATAAAATCAATGTGAAAATTATAGTAGTATGTGATATCAGAACTTTGTTAACAAAGATAAACTCATTATTTGCAAGAATTTTTTATTTGAACTTGGTTTAGGGCCCTAGAAACAACAATAAGTTGTGTCAGAATGAGAATCATTCAAGTATTAGTTGCGTGAAATCTAGTCTTACATTAAATAGCAATTTAGTTTCCATTTCTGAAAACAAAAGACTAAGGGGTTTGGACCAGCTATGCCCCTGAGAACAACTAGAAATCTGGACAAAATATTGAAAATATTTGTTTAAAGACATCTGAGAGCTCCCAAAGCAGGAAGAAATTGAGGGGCTGAGAGTTCGGAGAAGAGGGAAGCTCAGAGAGGAAAGCGAGGCATTTGGGGCTGCATTTTTGTCAATTCCATAATCGGCAGCAGAAAAGCAAAAGAGCTGTGTGGCGCTTCTGACAAACTCATAGGGTTGTGCAGACAAAACTGGAGTTCAGGGCCCACGGAAGAGGAAAGGTCCTACTATATCCTCCATGTGTAGGTTGGAACCCCAAAGATTTGTAACCTAGAAGTAAGGTTGAACCATAAGTAGATCAGCCCTCAAATAAGCTGAAGTCCAGTTCTGAATCATTTCTACCCTGATCTAGGATTGCTGACGCCCCTAGCCTAGCCACCTGACAAAAGCCAGCACAAATCCTCTCTGGAGAGGAGAACATGGCCTAGACTTTCAAATATCGTCTCCACTTTTTCAGATGCAATGTCCAGTTCTCAATAAAAAATAACCACGCATGTGGGAAGATAAAACAATATGCCCCCAATACCCAGAAAAACAAGAGACAATAGAAATAGACCCACAAGGGACCCATAAACAGCTATGCTTAATTTGTTCAGAGAATTAAACAGTAATTTACAACATGTTTTATTTCTTCATTTTTGCATAAATTAATTGGGTTGTTATCTCTTTAAGTATAGCAGGGAATTAACATGTCTTGCTATTTTAAATAGTTCTATTTTACAGAAAAATTATACAAAGTGTGTTAAAACTATGAGTGTTACTAGCAGCTCTATCTTTTGGCCAAAATCACCAACATCTGAAGAATTTGGTTTCACTCTGAAAAACAGTACAAAACTGCTGCCTGAGGAAAGTTCCTTGAAGACAGGCAAATGGTGGACAGAAGTGGTCTTGGAAGCAAAAATCACAGCCTACATACGGAAACTGCTGCTTGGACTTTTCTACATGTGCTATACCCTCTTAATTTCTTCAGCCAAATTTTATTTCCTTTGGCCTGGGTTACACCCTGATTCTTGTGCAAATTCTTGAACTTTCCCTGTACTTTGTTTTTGCTAGTTTTGTCTTCTGGCCACTGATCAAACCAAATTTACTTGGTCTTTGAAGCTTGAAAATACGTGCCTCTTTGTCTTTATAATTTAGACTCTGATTTCAAACTTCAAGTCAGCCAGGTTTACACTTAACTCAAAAGGAACATTACTCAGCTATTACTGAGTTACTATTGATATTACACTAACACGGGATCAATGATGCCTTTTTGAACTACTTAGGAAATGGTCTTATCAGACAGGAAAGGGGCAGCAACAGTACCATCTTGGAAAATACTGCCATAAAATATCCTGCACATTGTCTTCAAATACGTCTAATGGGTCCTTAGCCATATATGATACTGTTACATAATGGCATATATATACAAATTAAAAAACATATACAAATATAAAATATAAATAAAATAACGTATACACTATTTTCCCTTCTCTGTATTCCCAACTTTCACTTCATGCAGTTTTTTCTGTGTATTATTAAAATGTTGCATTTTAATATGGATAGTTTTATAAATGATTTTGAAGTAAAGTTATTGGCTGTATCTACGTAAAAACATAGTAGTAATGTAAGAAGTTTGTGATAAAGCTAAATTATATATTTATTTGTGCTAGAAACAAATTCCTTATTTAAACTTATGGCTCCACAATGGAAACATGTTCTAATATCCTGGTAAGTTATAAAAAACGAAAATCTGAGTGAGCTGTATTTTTTGTCCAAATGATCTTGTTTTACTTTAGATTTGGCCATGTTTGTCTAACTGTCTTCCAGACACCACCTGAGTGCCCCACAGGTATCTAAAACTTAACATATCCAGAATAAAGCTCATCTCTTCTCACTCTAATCCTCTTCTCACCCCCATCTGCTCTTCATCACATGTTCTCTACCCAAGTACAAAGTGCCATAATGCACCCAGTCACCAAGCCAGGAAGCTGGAAGTCATTCTATTGAATGGGGTCATGATAAAGAGCACAGGCTCTGAAATCAGACTGCTAGTGTTCAAACCCAGCCTCTGCCACTTGTTAGCTGTATGGCCTTAGGCAAGTTATTTAACCTCACTGAGATTTGGATTCTTCATCTGTAAAACTGCATTTAATACATTGATTGTTACACAAAATATATGAGATAAGAACAGTATCCACCCTACCACCAACATACAATTGATTTGAAGTTCAATTGATTCCACATCTTAGTGTTTCATTTGTCTGGGCTCTCCTCTACATTTCTGATGCCTAAAGAATTATGTCGCATTACACACATACACAATAACAGTGAAAGACCAAGTATGACATATTCAGCCCAGCCCTTGTAAGTACACAGTACACTGTAAGTACACAATACCCTGTAAATACACAGTACCCTGTAAGTATACAGTACCCTGTAAGCACACATTACACTGTAAGTACACAGTACCCTGTAAATATACAGTACCCTGTAAGCACACATTACACTGTAAGTATACAGTACACTGTCAGTACGCGATACCCTGTAAACATACAGTACCCTGTAAGTACACAGTACCCTGTAAGCATACAGTACCCTGTAAGTACACAGTACCCTGTAAGAATACAGTACCCTGTAAGTACACAGTACCCTGTAAGCATACAGTACCCTGTAAGCACACAGTATCCTGTAAGCACAAGTGCACTGTAAGCACACAGTACCCTCCAAGCACACAGTACACTGCAAGTACACACAGTACTCTGTAAGTACACAGTACCCTGTCAGCACAGTACACTGTAAGCACACAGTACACTGCCTTACTTAGTTTTCTGGGCAGACTCTCTTTTTGAAGTATATTGGCAAAAGTTTGAAATAGATCCTGACATTAATTTGGGGCGGTATAATAGAGATCAAGAAAAGACTCTTTAAAAATTCAGAATTGTCATTACTATCTGTAATTATCTGCAATAGTGAAATTATAACAAATATTTTATAAACCAGGAATATTCAGAATGCTAATCTAGTATATCGGAACTCACAACCATTATGAAATATACCTATGTTTGACAAAGCTTGCATTTAATATGGATTGCATAATCTAAGACAAATATAAAGTAATGCTTTAAAACACCAAACTGAAAGTCTGAGGTAGTTATGATGATTACCTTTTTGTTTTTTTAAAGCCACATGATTTGTCCTCTGTGATCTTTGGTACTGTCTTAGATGTGGATGTAGCAATAGCCTTTTCAAATTCAAACTGAAAATCAAATGTCAGGGGTGTCACCAAAGTCTTTTTCTTTACTTGACTCTGAAGCCTGTTTTTCTGCAGCAAAGCCAAAGTATAATATTGAAAAAATGAGTACTTTTCATATAGGAAAAATTCTGTGTGAAAAGGGCAAAATTAATCTCACTTTACAGACACACACACACACACACACACACACACACACACAGAATTTATGTGGCAGGCAATAATGGAAAAATAACAGAGATTGACAATTGGGGGCCTCGTTAACAATAACCGCTGTGTGACCTGAGCCACCCTCTTCCCATCTATGAAATGAGGGTGTTGGACTAGATGATCATGGAGGCTCCCTCCAAATTCTAAAATTCAGAATTTAAGAATGACCTATATATTTAGCAAAGACAATACTGACATGTAGAGTCACTGGAACCACAGCAGGCAGGTCTCTGCAACCTGCTCCTCTTCATGTACACACACATGTGGTGAAACAACCATCAGTCCTCTGGTCGCATGAGCCAGAAATAGAGTTAAGAAAGCAATCAGAAGAGGACTTTGTTCCAATATGATACAGATGAACTGAAAAGGAAAAAGGATGGAGCTCAAGAGTGCATTAAGGGGCCAAAAATCTTCTCTAAAAAATTGTCTCTGAGCACAGAGGAATAAAGAGATGAGAAGTTTGAAAGCCAGTCAAAGGATGTGGGAACTTCTGCTTCTGCCCCTAAGTGCTACGAGGATTGCCCTCCTGCTGTAAACAACTAGAAAATCTGACAAACATATGCAAACACCTGTAATCAGGTATTAGGAAACAGACAGAGCAGGACTGCGATCCCTGAGGGAAGGGAAACAAATGAAGCAAACCCACAACAGCCTGGCTTGCTTCCTGGAGGCAGTCTCCCAGTGAGGTGCAGCGAGAGTGAACTCTAACCAAAGCAGTGGCCTTGACCTTGCTGAGTGTAAGAGACACAGATTGCACCAGCAATCACACTCTTGGGCATCTACCCCAGAGAAATGAAAACTTATGTTCAGGCAAAAACCTGTACACAAATATTCATAGCAGCTTTATTTTATCTCATTTTTTTAAGCAGCTTTATTTTTAAAAGCAAAATACAGAAAACAACCCAGATGTCCTTCAATGGGTGAGTGGTTGAAACTCTGCACATCCAAATAATGGAATACCACTCAGCAATAAAATTTATATATTATTTACCACAAAAAAGCTATTGATTCATGCAAAAACCTAGATGGACCTCAAGGGCATTATGCTTAGCAAAAAAGTCAATGTCAAAATTTGACATATGGAACGATTCCGTTTATATAACATTGTCAAAATTACAAAATGATAAAGATGGAGAACAGAATAGCCATTGCCAGGGATAGAGACAGGGAATTGGGGTAGGGGCGTGGATACAAGTACAAAGAAGCAACATGAGGGAGTTCTTTGATGGTGATGGAAACATGCTATATCTCGATTGTGGTGGTGGTTACAGAAATCTATAATGGGATAAAATGGCACAAAACTACACACGCAAATGAATAAAGGTTAAAAAATGGTGACAACTGAATAAAGTCTGTAGTCTGGTTAACAGTAATATGCCAGTGTCAATATTGGTTGTGACGCACACTGGGTTTGAGATTGTACTATAACTATGTAAGATGTCATCACTGGGGGCAACAGGGTGAAAGGTACGTGAGACTATTTGTACTATTTCTGCAACTTCCTGTGAGTCTATAATTATTTCAAAATGAAAAGCTTAAAAAAATAAAAAAGCAATTACCAAAGTGATTTATATATTGTGGTCTCATTTTGGGTCAATAAAAAATGAAATAGAGACAATCCACCTTCATAAATGTGTGTGTATGTATATACGTAGATGTATATTTATATTATGAATACTTACATGTAAAGATAAATGTATGTGTGCATACGTATATACGTGTTTGTATACCTTTGTAAGAGCACAAAAGAAGATGAGGATGGATAAACACCAGCTGCTAAAATTGGTTTGCTTCAGAGGAAATGCTTGGAGAGAAGAGGCCAGAGACAATTTTTCTTTATGTAATTTTCCTTATGTATAATTTTTTTATACATATCTATATGTTGCTTAACTTATTTCCAAAAGTATGTTTTTATTTTATAATTTAAAAAATAAGAAAAGGTTTAAATAATGATTATATACTCTTAAAAGAATTTCCAGAGAATCCTCTGTCAGTAACACATGAACTATGCATAGTAACACAAAATGAGAAAGTGCATGGACGTGCTTTGTACAAAGGAAGCTCTTAGTAAAAGGTAAGAATTATTATTACTAATCATAACTTAAAATTTATATAAAAAGGAATTTCATGACAAATTACATAGATTTATCTCTGATTATATTTTCTAAAGTATACTATTTTCATTTTAAACAGAAAATAAAAAAGGAATGAACTTTGGGGTATCTAAGTCTAATATGGTTGCTTTAGTAAGTTGCTCTTGGTGTGTTATATCAAAATTTTGATAGCCATAATAGAATGAATTTATTTCATTTTCCAATATTACTCTATTTTCTGAATGAAAGGGGATAATTACGAAAAAAAAAGAAAATCAAATTATTATTCAAACATCAACATTTTCATTTTCAGGTTCACAGATATATTCATTTACTTAAGAGTTCCTCTCTGCAGTGTCTTCCTTGATTTATCAGACTTCATGCTTTTTATCTATGCCTCATTTATTCACATTGTTATATCATATTGCAAGTCTGTGTAACCAAATTAAATTGGTCACATGTGCTAAAAATTTGTTTTTTTTGAGAACTATATTCTTTATTAATATTTTATATTGAATTGTATGAGTCTCAACTTTTTAACTTTAATTTCTGTGAACTTCTTTTCTTTCTTTCTTTCTTTCTTTCCTTCCTCCCTCCCTCCCTCCCTTCCTTCCTTCCTTCCTTCCTCCCTCCCTCCCTCCCTCCCTCCCTTCCTTCCTTCCTTCCTTTCTTTCTTTTTTGTGAGGAAGAGTAGCCCTGAGCTAACATCTGTTGCCAATCCTCCTCTTTTTGCTGAGGAAGACTGGCCCTGGGCTAACATCCATGTCCATCTTCCTCCACTTTATATGGGACGCCGCCATGCCCATCTTCCTCTACTTTATATGGGATGCCACCACAGCATGGCTTGACAAGGGGTGTGTCAGTGCCCCCCAGGGATCCGACCCCGGGCCACCCAAGCAGAGCATGCACACTTAACTCCTACGCCACCCGGCTGGCCCCTGAACTTCATTTCTAATTTGGTAACTATACAAAATATTTTCTTCCTTTTAATAAACCAACTAAATAACTTTTTATATGTTTAACATACTAGTAAGAACTATAGGAGTAGTCACAGGTACTATTTGACTGCCTAGGATTGTTTAATCTTAAGCAGCTTGGATACACCATAACTTAATATAGCAGCTATCTAGAAGTTACCTTGTATTTTTAATTCTTTATAGTATCCACTATTAAGTGGATACTATAGATGGCTCTTTAAACTAATATAATTATTTGCTTTTTACAAATTAGTTTGTATCTTCATATCAATGCATCATTAACTAAAAATAATCATTCACATTTGAAATGATAACCTTTTAATAATTAGATTGAATTTTAGCTTTTATTTTACAAACCTTTGCTCTTCTGGCCAAGAGTATCTTTGCTTGCTCATCTAGAACATCTAATTTCTTTAAGATTTTTTCTGCCATTGTCAGTCAGTAAATTCCTATTTAAAAAGGAGTAAAAAGAAGAAATCTCCAAAGCAATTAAAATTTAAACACATGATCGATTATTTAGGCATAAGTTAAAAGACCTATCTTTATGTTACTGTTTTAGGTAAAAAATAGAACTCTATATATAGATCATGGAATAAATCACAGAATTGTAGAGGTACCCAAGTTTTAGATAGAAGGTCACATGATCAGAATTCCCAGATGTGTGTGGGCTGCAGGTGAGTTGGAGAAAGTTCAAGATTACCATACGAAAACCAGATGTGACTCATACTTGAAACAAGGGCATGAGGCTTGATTTATATGTATTTTCTTTTTGTCATGGTATAATTTTAATGAACATAAACGCAAAGAGCTCACATTTACATAATTAATTGCATTCAAATTAAATTGGTCAATGATCCAAGACTGTTAATACAGCACTTAGAAGGCAATTAGTCACACAGAGGAGTGGCAGCCAGGCTGGTTAGGTGCTATTGCCATCACAGCTCATATTTGCTAGTTAATTCATAGAAAATTGCTGCAAATTTCATCTGGGGTCAAGTGGTCCATATTAGGCTTGGGAACCTGAATATTAGACATCAGGACCTGGTCTAATTTATCTCCATTTTCAGATGAGGAAATTAAAAGCCACAAAGTACCTTACAATGCCAACAAATAGCTAGGGACAGATTGGAGGCAAGATCAGGAATATTAACCCAAAACTCCCTCTATTATCTTTATTTTAAAAATTTGAGTAGATGATTACGCATTCAGCATATTTTGCTCAGTGAATTGAATGGGCTCCAGTGGCATTTAAGTGTAAAAGTTAAGATGGTTCACAGAAAGTACTGAACTCATCAATGTTTCTAATGAACATCAATGTCAACACTAAGGTTCTTTCAGAAAAACCTATGTTATTTCTCCCATATTGTATATTATTCAATCAATATCACACAAAGACAATAATACATGAAAAGACAAGGATCAAGGATCCTATACCAAAAGCTCACAATATTTTGTACTTGGTTTCTTTTTTTTTTTTTTGTGAGGAAGATCAGCCCTGAGCTAACATCCATGCTAATCCTCCTCTTTTTGCTGAGGAAGGCCAGCTCTGAGCTAACATCTATTGCCAATCCTCCTCCTTTTTTTTTTTTAACCCCCAAAGCCCCAGTAGATAGTTGTATGTCTTAGCTGCACATCCTTATAGTTGCTGTATGTGGGACTCGGCCTTAGCACGGCCAGAGAAGCGGTGTGTCGATGCGCCTGGATCCTAACCTGGGCCACCAGTAGCGGAGCGCACGCACTTAACCACTAAGCCATGGGGCTGGCCCTGTACTTGGTTTTTTTTAGCTCTCTTTTCTACTCTCTCTCCTTCACCATATGTTGCCCTGGGTGTGAATTCCTAGTGTCCTGATAGCATTTTTCCAACCCAGCATGCCTTCTGCCATTCTGCTACATCCAGATACTCCCCTCCCATCCCATGAAGTAGTCCAACGCGACAAAGGGCTCTTCTGGGCCACGGGGCTGCAGGCAGATAGACTGCCGTGTTACGAACCACCTAACCTCGGGTTGCAGGCCGGAAAGGCGAGGTGCAGGGCAAGGGCGTTAGCACAGTGAATGCCGCAGACTCTCTGGGCCTACAGGAGAGGCCGGGACAGAGTTGGAAGAGAATGTAGATTATCTAAACACTATATTTTGTCTTTTCAGACCCAGGAACCAGCCCTCTCATATATCCTAAAAACAACTAAAGGAATTTTAGCTTCCATGTTTCCCTTAAACATAATATGAGTTCAAGGGGGTGGAGATGGCTCCCATATTTCTCACCGGTTTCTTTTATTGGGGACAAAGATTTCTACTTCTCTATAAGAGAAAGAAAGGTAAATAACAGGAAGATACAGCATATGGAAGTGAATGTGTTTCCCAGTTTGGGGAAGGTATAAAGGACACGAGGGACGACTGAGAGGTGCTGCTTTCTTGGGAGAGGAACAGCAGGCAGGTCTTTTCAGAGTAAGATGCCCTACACCTCTACCTTTTAGAGTCCTTCATCTCCAACATCACATCAGACCTTTTAAGATGCACTACATCATCCCATTTTTTACATACACTTAGCTGTAATTTAAGACAATTTTTATGTTTTTGATTTAAAATTATTTTGCTATGAGTAAATTATTTAGCTACGATATGATTTCCGGTAGATCACTGTGTGTATGGTGAGTTTTTTTTGAAGCGAGAAAAACTAACTGACCAATTATTTTCAAGGGTCAACAGCAATTTCATGACTACTAAATTTGACAGTTAATGAAATTGACAGCATGTTATTAGTTTTAGTTTTGCAGTTTCATTTTCACATTTTGGAGCCAATATCGTTTTTTTTTTTCCAGTTTGCAAATGTTTTCATAGGTCCTTGGCAATGTGCAGTGGTTCCTAATAGATGAATGGCCTTGGGAGTAAGTGGAGGTGACCGTAGACTAACTTGCTTGCTTTCCTCATTATACCAAGGGTATCAAGGGCCTAGCTTCTGTCTCTTCAAATAAAAACTGAGAGCAAAGGAACACGAGGTCTAATATGATGGTGTATCCCAACTGCTTGGCATGAACTAAAATCCAATCTTTTGATGCAAAATGCATCAAGACTGCATTAAATTTTCCTCAGTAAGACCTTCTGTGTTTCAGTCTTTTCTTGATTCAATCTTTAATTTTAATGTCTACTTTAAACCAGCATATTGGTGTCATACTTCTACTTCAGGTTTCCATTTCTATGGCATATATTCTACTTCATTATTCTGTTTCAGTGAGCATATACTGTCATTTGATGATCAGTATTTATTTGTTCATTTGGGCACTGGCTACCTAAATGTATTGCATGAAAGATGTTTTGCTGGATATCCTATCAAATTCCCTGAAGAAGTTGGCACTTGGTGGACATTTATCTTTGTGACCCCCATCTTCCTAGGCAAGGCAGATGGCCTCTCCTATTTCACTAAAAAAATAGAGACCATCAAGTAAGAACTTCTCCAACTTCTACCTCTCATATCAAAGTCTTATCTGCATCCATTCCCATCTCCCCTGTATTTTAATTTTAATGGAGGTGTTGCCTCTCGCATCCAAAGCCCATCCCTCCCAGTGCACTCTAGACTCTATTACCTCTGACCTCCTTAGAGTTACGTCCACTGGTTATCCTCTCTCCCGTATCTTTCAATTCTTTTCTCACCAACTTCTTTTCCTTAGCGTTCTCAAGTCTCTTCCATTTTTAAAAAGGAAAAATTCTTCCCCTAACCCTAGTCGCCATTATTCTCTCTCATCTTCTCTTTTTTTTTTTTTTTTTTTAATTTTATTTATTTATTTTCCCCCCAAAGCCCCGGTAGATAGTTGTATGTCATAGTAGCACATCCTTCTAGTTGCTGTATGTGGGACGCGGCCTCAGCATGGCCGGAGAAGCCGTGCGTCGGTGCGCGCCCGGGATCCGAACCCGGGCCGCCAGCAGCGGAGCGCCGCACTTAACCGCTAAGCCACGGGGCCGGCCCTCTCATCTTCTCTTTATTGTCAAATTTCTTAAAATTGTAGTCTATACCAAGGGGTTCTAATTTCTTACATCCCTTTTCCTTCTCTATCTACCATCATTTGGCTTCTTTCTAAACTTTTCCACTAGCGCTGCTCTCATAGGTCACCAGGGTCACCATCTTATAAATTAGTAGACACTTTTCCTCTCTCATTTACCCTATTGGAATCTTTACAACTTTTGCTAATGTTGACCACTCCTTTCTATGGATCACACCCCTCTTGGTTTCTATGACAACAGTCACATCTTCTTACCTTCTCTGAAGATTCCTTGTCAGTGTCTTCAACTTGCTCTTCTTCCTCAGCTCACCTCCTAAATATTAGTGTTTCTAAATGCTCGGCCATCTTTTTCATCATTCCATATATTCTTCCAGGACGACGTCTGAAACCCATGGCTTCATCTACCACCATCTATTTCCAAACAAAATCTCTCTTCTAGGTTCCAAACCTATATACCAGACTCAATCCAGATTTCCCAAGGGGAGCCCAAATGTAGGTCTAAATGTAAACCCACCCTTCCTCTTACTCAGCCAAAAATCTCTTCCAACCTTTATTACCACGTTAATTATCTCTTAGGCATCTAGCCCATAAACTTAGGAATCCTAATGGTTCTCAATCCTAGTTACACGACAGAACAAACTCAAAAACTTCCAAGAAATACAGATTCCCACTTGCCATCCCAGACCCGCTAAGTGAGGATTTGTGGAGGTGAAGACCAGGATCTATTTTTTAAAGCCATTCTGATGCAGCTGTTCCCCAACTAGGATATGGTCACCACTCTGCCAGAAAACTCCCTCCTACCCCCTCCCTAAATCTACACAGCCACTTTCTCTTGCATATGGTACAGCCTACATAGCTTTTCAGTTTTTCTCCTCTTGTCCATTCACATTGCTATTTCCTCAGTTTAGGATTCCACAAGGTGCTGCCTGGATTATTGCAATAGTTTCAAAATACGTCTATACATTCGATCCATCTATCCTTCACATTTGTCTGAACCGTGGTTTCAAGAAAAATACAATCACATGCCTCCCTGATTAAAGCTTCAACCCCTCCCTACAGCTTTCAGGACAAAGGTCAAGCTACTCGGTTTATCACACAAGGCTCTCGGTTTGGCCTCTGACCAAGTCTTTTACCTCATCTGCCTCTTCCTCGTGTATACTTGATATCCTGGTCCTGACAAGCAACTTGCAGTGCCTCAAATGCGTTGTATTTTCCTTTACTTATGGCTTTGCCTTTGCTGTTCCCTCTGCACACAATGCTGTTCTTCCATTCCCTGTATTTCTAAGTCCTATTGATCCATCAAGACCCAACACAAATACCACCTCTGCTGGGAAGCTCTCCCTGATACACTATGATTTAACTGTCCCGTGTCTGTGCTCGCATGACAGCCTCCGTGTGCTGCTATCCTAGTACCTACCATGCTCTATCAAAGCATTTGATATACTTGTTTTATTCCCCCCTATACTGTGTGTTTCTTGAATGCAAGAACTGTGTCTAATTCATCTTTGCATCCCTAATACATAACAACCTGAATGAATTAATTAACCATCAGCCAAAGAGGAAATGGACAACTGTAAACGCTATGACTGCTTTTAGCCTGCATTTACATTTATGAGTATGCACAAATCTTTGACAGAGTCCTTCTAGATCAAGCCATTGCATTAAAAACATTGTTTTCTCTCCCCCCTTCAAACTTAGAAAGGCAGCAGAATGCACAGGTTAAGAACACGGATTCTGAAGTCAGACTGCCTGGGTTTGAATCCTTGGCTCTGCTACTTACCACCTGTGTGACTGTGGGCTAATTGCTTAACCTCTCTGTTTTGCCCCATCTCTAAAATGAGAATAATAAAAATACCTACTTCATGGAGACGTTATGAGGTTTAATTGAGTGGATGTAAGTGACATGTAAGTGTTTGGTAAACAAAAGAAGTAAATATAAGTAATGATACACTTACCAGTTAGAGATAAGATGTGTAGGATTACCTACATATGCTGCAACATGCATGTTCTCCATCTGTATATCATTTCATTTTTTTCTGCCGTACCTGCCACCATACAATCTCCAATGGTCTTCATTCACAGTATATTTCTTCAAGTATACCTACACTAGATCTTGGGAGCTTGGGAAACAATGAGAATTTATTCAGCAATTCAGTATTTTCTATTTAATCCAGCAATTCAGTATCTTCTGTACCATGTCATCTGATTATCTGTTTCCTTTCCTTCTCTAATTTTCTCATGGTTTTACTTCTCAATCTTCTATTAAATTCTTATTCTGAGTTCAGTAAACAGAAACTAAAACTCAATGCCCTATAAAGCACAAGTCTAGGCCTTGATATATGGTGACTATTTAGGGAGACTACCCTGGTAAGCATCACCATGTCTTCATACTGGAGACTCATCAAAGAAACAAAATTAGTTTGTGCTCAAGTAAATAGATTTAATCATCCCCCTTTCAACTGATATATTAATGGAGGGCAGGAGAGATGATCTCACTTATTAAATATAGATGGATATGTCTGAAGTATTCTTATATGTACTTACAGTTGGAGAGAAATGCTCTCCTTTGGAATGGAGGGTTCTTATGTGGTCACAGAGCCTAACCCATAGAATCTTGGGGTTAGAATGGGTCGATAGCCTTTCACATAATTCCATCAACAGTGAGGCAGCCTATACACCAACTGGTTGAGAACTTTGGATCCCTAATCTTATTTCCATTGCCATTGTCTTCCTCTAGACCTTCAGGTTTTCACTTTCCCTCCCCTGGGTTACCCCACCATACTGCTCTGAATTTGCCGGCCCTTTTCCTTCCTCCTCATCCTTCACATACTGATCCTTCAAATGCCATCAGAGCTGTCTTCCTTAAACAGGACACGGATCAGCTCCAGCTCCAGCCCACAGCCCACAGCCCTCAGCTTGCTCCCGATTACCTCCAGAATAACACGCAAACTCTTCAGATGACATACAAGACCATTCAAGAAAAGTCCGTCCAGGATCTGGCTCTGCCCACCTCTCAGTTAATTTCCCTCTGTCGGGGGAAGAGGGAGAATCTCCCTCTGCCCTTTTTCTTAAGGTTCTTATGGCTGGACAAATAATTAACAAGACAGGTTATCAGGAGAAAATAATACTAAGTTTAATAACATGTATACATGGGAGAAAGCAGGGACACTGCGTTTCTCAACACAATAGCAGAAATTCTCGTCTTAAATACCATGTTCAACCAAAGACAAGGAGGATGTTGGGGGTGGGGGTGTCAGTTACAGGAGATTATCACTAAAGCACTGTAAACAAGAGTAAGGTTTATTATGCAGTTTTAAGGCCTCACCTTCCACATTGATAAGTTTCTAGAAATGAGGTCATCCGCCCTCTTCCCAATACAGAGAGGGAGATCCCTTTACAAATGGAGACTTCCCTTGTAAATGATTGTCTGGCAACTCCTCGCAGGGCCATCCAGAGAAGGTGGCCAGAGAGACAGAACTTCCGATAAGATGGGCTTGTTGGTGCCTTTTCTATTGTAACCTCTATCCTACATTATCTTTATAGCAGTCATGATAATAACTCCTTCCTGAAACAGATCTTTTGTTTTAAATTCTTTAGGCAGTTTGGGAGGGGAAATTCAAATATTCTTCCTGAGTTCTCTGAGTCCTTATTGTCTTCAACTCTCAGCTCGAAATAATCCGCATACCAGAGTGGTGCCTCCTGGGGTAGCTTGCCCTGAGCACCATCACCTCCATATCCCGTCTTCTCCTGCTATACTCTACTTCTCCTGCCCCCGGACGTGTTCTGCCCTTTCCCAAGCGTGTCCTCCGCTCGTGCTTTTCCTTCCACTTAGAATGTCCTGTCCTCATGTCTTCCGATCAAAAGCCTACTCTTTACCAAGTCCTGGAGTGAAGGCTACCTCTTTTGTGGAACCTCCCTGGACATCCTCCTGTGCCTCGTCCCAGGGACAACCTCTTCTTCTCGTGTGCTCCTACTGGACTTGGTCCTTCGTCATAAAAGTTGGCACATTGTGCTGCAGAGATTCACTCTGTGACAGATCTCTTCCTCACTGTGTTGAAAGCTCATTTAAAGCAAGAATTGACTTATCCACCTCTGAATCTCAGCACCAGACAAAGGATTTGACCCTTCACTGGGATCTGAAAATTAGTTTAATTTGAAGATGTCTCTGATTATAACATTTTAGGAGGAGTAATTCCAGTTTATCTGTAATGGATGACGTTAATTCATGATGATTTACTGGGGGATGAAATATGAAGCTGAATGAAGTATTATAAAATGTGGTTCTTGCCAAATCTAATCTCAGTAAAATTATTTTCAAAGGAAACTTGGATCTGTGTTCTTAATTACTGGGTCAGTAATGACAGTTTTTTGAAGAAGAACACAATGAAGCAGAGAACTTGCCAACTAGGGCAGAATGAAATTCCTGGTCACCCTCACGGTCAGTCATCCACAGGCCTCACTGCACGGACTCAACCACATGCAAGAACAATTTCAAGGTTGCAGGGCCAACATGATAAGCACATCAGAGGCTGCCTCACTACTAAGATAAAAATATCGAACTAAAAAGTTACTCCTAAGAGCACTACTTCATTTGAACTGTTAGCACCTTTGGGACTGAAAAAAATCCCAGAAGCCCCCAACGTTGCCAATATAATAGGCTCTGCTAAGGAGGCATTTTCAGCAAGTTCCAAATGTCTCTCATTAAAGGAAGAACTCAGGAAAACTAAGATAGAGGTTCTAAACTCACAAACTAAAGAGCAGACTAATCAATTATCTAGAAAATGGAGGCTTAAATTAAAATTTACCTCTGTTATCTGGCTTTATCAGTTCAAACGCTTACTTCCTGAAGGCGAGGTCTCCGCCTTACACTTTTACCTGACACCGTCCCCTAAACACTCAGCACCTCGTAAACACTCACTGTTAGATGATTACTTTTTACTCAGTAATGTGATAACTGGCTCAATTTCTCCACCTCACATTCCAAGTACAGACACAAAGGAATCTTTATTTAAAACCTAAAATGTTTATAAATGGCCCATGTTGGAGGCTGAACTATGTCCCGCCAGCACCTCAGAATGTGGCTGTATTTGGAGATAGGGCCTTTATTTTAACGAGGTCATTAGAGTGGACCTTAATCCAGTATGACCAGCGTCATGTAAGTAGAGGAGATTAGCACAGACAGCACACACGGAGGCAACGTGTGAGGACACAGCAAGAAGGCGGCCATCTGAAGCTAAGCAGAGAGGCCTAAGAACCCAATCCTGCAGGCACCTTGATCTTGAACTTCTATCCTCCAGAACTGTGCAAAATAAGTTTCTGTTGTTTAAGCCACCCAGTCTGTGGTATTTTGTTATGGCAGCCCTTGCAAACTAACACAGCCCGCAAATCATGAGAACTAATTTAAAAACTCATTGTGTGAAGATTTAACTATGAAACCTGGCCTATGTGCTTAGATCCACAGCATATATTTTCTTGCCTCCTTTTGATTATGAGCAAGGGAGATAAAATTTACTTTTCGTTTTGAGGGTTTACTAAAATTTGCCTCTCACCAACCTGAGGTTGGATGGTAAGCTGCTAAGGAAAAATATTAAAGATGTTTTAAAAGTGTGACGCATATGCTCTGGGGAGTATTATCGTGAGCAGCCAATCAAATAACGATTGGAAGAATCCATTGGCAAACTGGAAATTGCACCACAATTACTGCAGGGGCCATCAACTCCCACCCCGCCATTCCGGGTCCCTTCTGTCTCCGGCAAATTTGAAACGTACCAGTTATGCAGCCCGGAGGCGGCTGGCACCTGGTGCCCCGCCCCCCAGGTCACCTTCCCTAGGGGCGCCGCCACCCGGGACCTGCTGGGTGTGGGGGCACGTGGAAACGAGGGAGCCCAACTCACTCTATGCCTACGGTCCTTGAATGGGAAGCCAAAATTGGGGGCAAAATTGAGGAAGCTCGTTAACATTAAGCACAGAAGAGATATGGTTTTTTTACGGACCTGGAAGAGCCCCTGAGCTCCGCCTCCCACCTGCGCCCCACACTCACCTGAGACACCCCGGCGGTGGCCGCCCAGCAGCCCAGCTTCACACTGACGCCTGTCATCTCCGTGCAAATGTTAATTTCCAGCCTTCCAAAGCCGCTGCCTCCCCAAACCGCATCCACCTCCTCCTTTTTTCTTCTGGCTCTGGTGGTGATTTGTTCCCCTCGTTAGCCCCGTTACAACACGTCCTGTGTCCATAGAAACAGTTTCTCGAGTTTCCCCACCTTGAAAAAGTCTTGAGAGCAGAGTTCTCTCTCTTTGCAGGGGTTTCGCCCGTATAATTTGTAACTAAAAGCCAAAGAGACTCACCAAATACGTATATTGATATAAAAACGGTTGCGCTGAAAGAGCGGAGGAGCGAGGGCTTAGGAAAGAAGATGGAGTGAAAAGAACTAGGGAGTAGCGGCTCTGCTTCTGCTTCCTTCTTCCTTTTGTACTTTCCTCAAAACACAGAATTTCAAAAAGAAGCTAAAACTTCCTCCATGCAGCTTGCAGCCCTGAATGGAAGTTGGCAGCCTATATTTGAATATTTGACGAAAGATTGCTTTCATGACTTTGACAGAAAAAAAACAAACCCATTCTTATTTCTAAGGCCAAGAAACTGCCCGGGTAGTTATTAAGATCACCTTGTATTTATAAGTCATACAGCAGGGGGCTGGCTCTGTGGCTTAGCGGTTAAGTGCGCGCGCTCTGATGCTGGCGACCTGGGTTCGGATCCCGGGAGCGCCCCGAGGCACCACTTCTCCCTCCAACGCGAGGCCGAGTCCCACGTACAGCAACTAGAAGGATGTGAATCTATGACATACAACTATCTACTGGGGCTTTGGGGGGAAAAAACTGAATAAATAAAAAAAATCTAAGTCATACAGCAGGTGTGAACACACACTCCCCACACCATTCATACACACACCACAGAATCATAATCTAAAAATGACTGACTTGAAAACATACTTGATTTGATCAAGAATGGTGGAGCATTTCCACAACATTGATTAATTTTTTAGTCAAGCGTTATGTTGGTAAGCGTTTCA